GAGGAACTCAACCCGAGCACTGCCCGAATTTAATTCAGGCAGGCTCGGGTTGAATTCGGGTTAATGATTTCAGGCTAATTTCAAGTTACTTTACGAGTTCAATTCGGGTTGAGTTCTGGTAGAGCCTAAAATAGGCTTGTTCTAACTTCAACCAAGTTTTTAACAGTACTAATGGTATAACAAAAATGAAAATGAATGAGAGACAAAAAACGATAGAACACAAATAAAAAATCAGTGTTAATGCTTTATATATATAAATCCGATGTCTTAACCCAAGCCTAACTCAAATTGAATTCGGATTAGAATTTTTTAATTCAAACTCAACCCAAATATTAAAAACCCTTACTCAAGTTCTAATTTTTTCTGGTTAGGCTCAAGTTGAAATAAGGTTGTTCAACCCAAGTTGAACCCCTACATATAACTGAATTGTTTGGAAATTTTTTTTAAAAAAATTAGTTGAGTCCTACTTTTTGTTATAAAAAATCATTATAAATATTTACATATTTTTATTATTACAATGAATTCCTGCTTTTATTATTTACTCATAAAATTCTAATTGCATTCTATTCCTTGTTTACCCTTTAGCGTTAAATCACATAGATTGGGGTTACTATTTTCTATGCACATAATATCAAGGGACCAAATTAATCCGAACTAATTTAAAAACTCTTAACTGAATTTAGTCCGAATCTTCAACCAAATTTATGTTCACCATCTACATTTGAATCTGTTACAATTAGAATCCAAATCAAGAATTAAATCCAATCTGCATAATTCAATTTATGATAAATTTATTAAATTACATATGATTTTTTAACTCAATTTCATAATATAATTGTTTGATTTCATATTATTTGGATATGTCTAAATACATAATTTTGATTGAATTGAACTTACGAGTTGTTTGATAACCCCACTTAAGGCTTAAAATTGAATATTTTAAACACTTAATAAATTAAACTCATTTAATAACCTAAAATTCAAATTACTTAATATTTTAATCACTTCTTAAAAATAAGCTAAAATTTTAACTAGCAAGTGACATACTTATCACTTAATATTAAAAATATTAATGAATAAGAATTTTATCAATTTCTCATAATAGACAAATATATCATCAATGTATTTTACACTCTTAACTTTTCAATGCACACCATTCACAACTACCACCACTATTGTGCCGTCGCCAAATACCACTGCCATCACCATCATCATCACCACCATTATGTTGCCACTATCATCACCACTGTCATTGTGTCGCTGCCACCACTACTACTATTATATCACCGCCATCGCCACCTCCACCACCATTATCACTACTACCACTATCACTATCATTGTGTTGTAACCACCACCACTGCCGCCCATCGTTATGGTATTGTTGCCATTGCAACCATCGCCCACCATAACCACTGTCGACACCATTGTGATGGTGGTGATAAAAATAAGGTAGTTGCGGAGAGATGATTAAAAAGAATGACAAAATTAGAATAATAATAATTTTCAGATTTCAATTTCTTATATTTGTCAAACTTTTTGATTCAATTAAATATTTAAATTTTAGTTAATACCAAACAATTTACGAATTAAAAAATTCAACATTCAGCACTTAAAATTTAGAATTCAATTTTTAATGTTCAGTTTTTAGTTTTATCGAACACCACCTTAACTTGCATATTAATATAATCTAAATTTGAATCTGCAATATAATATAAACGAACTCAAGTCTAAATTCAGAATTAAACAATTGGTGAAAACTTTATTAATTCATATAAGACAAATTAAATTTAGATTAGATTTGGATTGGGATTGGATCTACGAGATAGACATAAATCGGTCAATCAAAATTTCAAATATCTAAATATTCATGAGAACTGATTTTCAGCTATTTATATAAACATTTCTTTAGAAGCATAAAATCAATGGAGGGATATATATATAGATATATATATATATATATATATAGAGAGAGAGAGAGAGAGAGAGAGAGAGAGAGAGAGAGAGAGAGAGGCATCTTGCTATAGCCTTATTGATTGCTTCCACTTCAATATAAAGATATCACACAGTGGAAGCCATAATTATGGTTGAGACATAAAGAAAGGAGTAATGTTACACTAACTAAATAAAGTAGCATTGTTGTACTAAATTTTTTGTTTTAAGTGATGTGACATAATTTTCATTATCAAATAAATAAATCTTATTAACATTTAATGATGAAATTTGTGTCACATCATTTAGGATAAAAAATTAGATAAACATAATATTACTGCTAAATAAAGAGACTAAAATAAAAGATTAAACGACATGATGGCTGATGTGTCAACGCTGATAACGCAAAATTGAGTATTTAAGTAAATCAAAAGTTTTCTACCCATAATTTAAGCCATAAATCTAGGAGACCGAGCTTCTTCGATAACAACTAGCACCGAGACAAAGAAGACGGAGAAAGAGCGCTGCTTCATAAAGTGTCCTCGACATCTTCCTCATAATTGACGACTCAGACTAGAGGATGAGAGACATAGCTGCTTCACACCGTGTCCCTTGCATTTGACAATAGAGTTCACCTTTTACAATTTATTTGACAATGACAAAATTAGGTGATTTCAGATCATGGGACTCAAATAAGCATGTCATGAAACAAATTGAGTAAATTGACGATTTATTAACTAAGTGTTAGAGTATTTTATAAAAACGAACGTTTTATGAGAAATAACTCACAATCACATCGACTAAATTTCTAAAAAAAAAACTAGAGTTTATACAATATATTAGTGTTACATAGTCATAGAGTTAAGTGAGACTTTAGTAGCAAACATAGGAGATACGTAATTTCATGTCATCAATTTTGTGGAACCTATTTGAAATATATCATTTTCGTAAAACTGAATGATTTTTTAAATTACTACTCAATAAGAAAAAGAAATGAGGTTTGAAAAGGATTGTGCTTAAATCGACATTGACGATTAATTGATCTCTTTAACCAATGACAAGTTAGAGATTGTCAAATGGCTTAAAGAACACCTTCATATGTATAATATACGTGCCTGAAAAGTAGCAGAGTCCCATGGAAGCTGGANATTGTCAAATGGCTTAAAGAACACCTTCATATGTATAATATACGTGCCTGAAAAGTAGCAGAGTCCCATGGAAGCTGGATCTCTGGTCTTCCGTGCAAAAGGGTGTGATGTGTAGTGGGAAAGATGACGAAGACCCAAAAAAAAGTAGCTATGTCTTCTGTGGCTTGCTGAGGTTTGTTATTGAAGTGGGGAAGATGACTATTTCACTTGTTTCGTAATTTGTTGGTCTCTCTCCTTGATTTGGCTATTTCATCTTTGTCTGACGTCGTAGGTGGATGACTTGGATACCCTTTCCTAATATTGGATGTATGACTAGAGATTGAGGGTTAGACCTTATTATTGAGCCTTAATTTCTCAAGACATGGAAATATCTTTGCACTTTTTTTTGTTATTATCAATATATTTACTCAAATTGTCTGTACTCAATTTGATTCTAGATTTTTTTATAGTTTAAATGATGTTTGATAACTTATGTAAAATTTACTATTTTGAATTAAATTTGTAGAGATTTCTTTTTAAATAAACATTTGGTCGCAATCATCAAAATATTAAAGTACACTGCAATTGAAATCATTTGGTTGACTGTTCCCGATAAGCTTATTAAGAACCCAAAATGAATTTTAAACATTTTTTGCACCAAAAGTTTAAAGGATAAAAAAAAATAATATATTGAGTTTAGGACTTACTGGAAATTGTGATCAAAAGAAATTTTAACTGCCCTGAAGGAAATGTAAGATGACTAAACAGGGTTTTGGTACGAAAAGTAAGACTAATTAGAAACTTTCCTATAAATTATTCAAGAGGAAATTGAGTTTCTTGGAATCACAGAAAAATGCTTGGACAGAATCAATTTTGCCACTTTTTTTGGCTCGAATGAAACAACTGCATTGACCATTAAAAAATGGTGTTTTGTACGACCCAAAACTAAAATATTAGCAATAAAATAATCAATCACATAAATAGTGCCCTCCATTTTGCCAATATCATCATTTTCACAAACGACAAAGACCAACCGCCCATTAAGATGCTTATGTGCTGTATAGTAGTAGGGATTGAAAGAGAGAATAATATAAAATAAAAATTATATATTTTTTATCATTCGTAAGAATTATATAATTTTTTTTAACAAAATTTATGAAAATTAGAAATGATTAATTTTTTTGTATTTTGTATTAATAAAAAAATAGATAAATAAAAAAATATAAATACATATTATATAATTGATAAATATGATATATATATATATATATAGATACACACACACACAAATAACATACATTTTAACACACATAATTAATTTTTTTAGTAATGCTACACTGACCAAATTTTGAAACCAAATTAAGAACTCAAATAACATGGCAATTGACTTGGATTTCTTTATTTGGTGTCATGTCATTTGGGTCCCAATAAAAACTCTAAATAATATGCTGCCACGTCATTTGGACTCTTAATTCGATCCTAAAATTTGGTCAGCGTAATATTACTGTTCATTTTTCATTCATTTTTCTTTTAATTTTAGAGGGATTGATTTTAATGAGTTATAAAAAAAGTTAATTCATCTACTTTTTCATCATTTATATTTTTTTTTACCAAATATAATATTTTATCTATTATTCTAATTTTTTTTTAAAAAAAAAAATTCATCTATTTTTTATCGTATGAAACAGAACATTAGTGAGACCGAAGAACCCCTCAAATATATTAGCAATAAAATAATTAATCACATGTAGAGGGCCCTCCATTTTGCCAATATCATCATTTTCACAAACGACAAAGACCAACCGTCCATTAAGATGCTTAGTGAGACCTCAGAACCCCTCCAATCCCTTCCCTTATATTCCACTCCTAAGGTTGAACACCCTGAGAACTCCTCCCCCCTCTCTCTCTCTCTCTCTCTCTCTCTCTCTCAGAGGGTGTGTGAAGATGGACTTGTTGGGTGTAACTCTTCAACAAGTGATGCAGGCAGGGATCGTAGGACTGCCCTTAATTAAGGTACCCCTTGTTTCAGCTGTATGCACCATGGTGGCCCTATTGGCTGGAATTTTGGGGTACTTGTATGGACCCTATTGGGGTGTTAGAAAGGTACCTGGTCCTCCTGTCGTTCCTCTCCTAGGGCACCTGCCCTTGCTGGCTAAGTATGGTCCTGATGTGTTCGCTGTCCTTGCCAAACGCTATGGTCCTATCTTCAGGTTAGTCTTCTCCTCCCTGGTCTGATAGATGATCACCCACTAATCCTCTATCATTACGTGATGCAACAAATCTGTCGATATCAAATCTAAGAATAATCAAGAGGGTAAAAAGTTCTTTTTGCTTCACTGTCCCACTTTAGAGTTCTGTTTGTCCATAATACTATCCTGCCATCTGTCGACATTTGACAGTTTAACATCATCGCTGCGAACTGAATTTTTTTTTTCTTCTTTTCGTTTTTTTCCACATAGAAAATCAGGCTGAAAATTTTTTGGAAAAATTACTATAAGCATCACATTTCCCCACAAACATCTTCTATCATTTTTAATTTCTATCAATGAAGCCCTTTTTAATATTTTATTTCAATTAAGTCTTAATTTCATTATATTTCAATTTTTATCTTTAAATCTTTTCATTCTTTTGCATTCTTATATTAATTTGGTGGTACACTTTCAATTTGCACACCCTTGGGGCTTTTAAATTGCTATGTGATGTGGTTTCTTTCTGAATTCTTACTTCAAATTTTTTTATTTTTTTTGGGGAAGGAGGAGAGAGAGGGGGGATTTGAACCATTGACCTCAAGAAGGTAAAATCTTTTAATACNCCATTGACCTCAAGAAGGTAAAATCTTTTAATATCATTGGACCAAAAGTCCATTGATAATTCTTACTTCAATTAAAGTAATATTATTATATTATAAATTATATTCATACATATGTATGTTTTTAGATTATTTTATTAATTTATATTAGATTTAAAATGATTAAGTTAAGAATTTATTTTAATTGTTGACAAATACTGTCTTGAGTTTTAAGTTGAGTACCCCAATGAAATATGAAAATAATAAAATGTGAGCTTTCTTTACGTCCTGTCATGAAATTTATGTTAACTGAGATTTTTTTTTTTCTTATGACTTTTGATGTTAATTTTGTAAGAAAGGGATTTTGGTGCTCTTAATTGATTCTAATAATGCAAAATAATAAAAGAGTTTTGGTAACTAAAGGTAAATGATAAAGTTGAAATATAATAGAATTTAGGATTGAATTGAAATAAAATATCAAGAATAAGACTTCACTAATATGAAACAAAAATAATAGGACTTAATGGATATTTGTGAGAAAAAATAATACTTATGGGTAATTTTTCCAAAAATTTATTAGCATATGATTAGAACAGACTAAAAATTAAGAATGAAAAAACATAAAAACTAATAATCTTGGGACCCTGATGTGATCCTTGGCATACATGTTTCGCTTGGGAGATATCAAACAGTCTAATGGTTGCCCGCCCACCATCTCTGCTGAATCCATATTCCATTGGTCTACATGTGTAAAAAAATTATACTGGAGTGAAAGCATAGAGTTTGACTTCGAATTTTAGAAGTTTCAGAGAATCAATCATTCTCCCAGAACCATGATTAACATTTTCTTATTGTGTTATGGATCAGATTTCACATGGGAAGACAACCACTGGTAATTGTTGCTGATCCAGAGCTATGTAGAGAAGTTGGTATAAAGAAATTCAAAGACATTCCCAACAGAAGCATTCCATCTCCAATCTCTGCATCCCCTCTTCATCAAAAAGGTCTCTTTTTCACCAGGTATATATGTAGTGATACTAATGTTCTACAGGTATGTACCCTCCTACTAGCGGCACCCTGTACAATTCACAGTATTTTCAATATCTCTCATCACAATCTTACCATTCCTATCGTCACCGTCGTCATCGTCACTGCCACCCCCACCTCTACCCCCTTATTGCAACCCCTCATCCCCACCCCTACCCCAACTCGAGCATTATTGAAAAATTGTCTATTAATGTGCTAGATTAAGAAGGATGGAAAATTCAAATTCAAAGTAGTTTTATGGGAATAATTACATCAGCCACATAATGCATTCCTATTAAATAATTCAATATATAAAAACCTAGTACTTGATGATGAAATTTAGACAAGGACAGTGAGGAGTTTGAATGGAGTGGGGAGTTTAGTCATAGTAGGTTTATGAGGAAGTCGAAGAGAGTGAGAAACTCTCATGTCTAAATTAAAATGTATTTAAAAATAAAAAATTTTGAAAATTAGAATCAAATATTGGAGCTCATATAGCCAATAATATATAAAATATAAAGATGAAAACTGCGCTTAGCCCATTGCAAGCACTTCAATTAGTTATGAACCCCATCTAAACCTGTTTAGGTTGGATATATAAATCACAGTTTATTTGATGCTAAGTTGATTCTAAAACTCTGTTTCGTATTGATCCAAATATCCCCCCAATTTCATTTTCAAATTCGTTTAGAATCCAAACTTCAAATGATTAAACTTGACGTTAATTTTAACGAATTACTTTTGAATTTTAATTAAATTTTATTGGAATAAATAACTTGATATTAACATTTATTTGCTGTCAACTCATGCAATGCACATAATTAGTAATATCTCACCCACCATCACTGTTACTCTCACCCCACTCTTTTCTAACACTACTAAGAAATTATTTATTAACGTGTTGAAATTAATATTTTAAAATTTTCAATGTGAATTGGTTAAATAAAGATGATGGACAATTCAAATTTGGGGTAGTTACCCTAAAGTTGAAAGTGGTTACTTGTCACTTATTGGAATTTAATAATGTTGAAACCACACTTCAAAGATTTGTTGACGATTCGTGTAATTAATTATAAAAATTTATTTATCTATTAATTTTACAAGACAGAATTAAGGTTTGCTTTTGATGAGTAGATCTGCAAGAACGAAGACACATGCAGATCAAATAGTTGGCTCAATGAACCTCACAATCTTTTACCAAATGTCCTTCCATGCCAAAATCTAATGTTGCGTTTGGTATGATAAAAAAATGAAAGGATGACAAGTTTGAAGGATAAATAAAAAAATTATATTTGGTACGAAAAGAAAATAGGAAGGATGAAAAAGTAAATGGATTAACTTTCTTTTCAACTCACCAAAATTAATCCCTCCAAATCGAAAAGAAAGTGGATGAAAAGTTAATTATTTGTGTTGAGATGTATGTTATTTGTATATATATCTTTTCATATAAAAATACAATGATAAAATATGTATTTATATATTTTTTAAAAAAATATATATATATATTTTTATCTTAATTAAGGGTGAAATTTTTTAACTCAACACGATGACACGATTTGAACTCGATACAAATTTTATGACACGAATTTGATTATAACTCAACACGAACTTAAAAATCGTCTGACACGCGAACAAGAAATATAAAAGGCTCATATTCGGTTTAATCTGTCAAACTCAAAATTGACACCATTTGTGACGCCCCTAAAATCGGGGATCCTTTGTCAACCGTTGACCATCCGTCAACCTGTAAAAATATCCGTGATTGTTGCACAACCTGACATCACATCAATAGAATTCCTTTAATCGGGATCGTTACTCACACGTACAACACACGTATATTTTGCCATTTGACCCATTCAGGTCCAATATACCACAATTTATCCTTATTTTATGTCTATTTATATCCTTGTGACCAAAGACTTCAAAGGCCAAAAATATGACAAAACAATTTTAAAATTTCAAAATTTTGGAAGACCTACAGGTAGGTTGTGTCCACTGGAAAAAGTCCTACCAGTAGGTTTTGCTTGATGAATAAAATTCTGCCTATGCGAGATCTTACCGATAGATCCTACCGGTAGGTTGTGCTCACAAGACCTCGATCTATCGGTAGATCTTGCCCAGTTTTACCTGTTTCGCCTGTTTTTTATTTTCAATCCATCCAAATCCATTTCATCACCATCCCATACATGTTTAATGAAGTTTTTCACATTACACATGATCCATAAAAGTTCTATTACATTCATTTACATACCAAAACTAAATTTTCATAACAATTTTGCAAAAACTCAAGATAAAAGCCACATCTCGGCTTTCTTCATCCTTGAAGTCCCGTGTGAGGGCCTTCTGTTAGCATATATCTCGCACTTAAAATGTTTTCCCGTATAGGGTGAGTCACGTCTAGTAGAGTATTTCCTACAGAGACTACTCCCTAACCTAAATGCATATGAAATGCTCATAAGTAACATTTAACACAGGAATAATCATTTCAATCAAGAATATGTGATTCAATGTTAGAATTCTATTATATCATGTCATGAAATGAAATGAAATGAAACTCACTCATACACTTGAACCCAAGCTCTCACTGGCTTCCACGACACAATGCAATGCCAATGTATGAAAAATTCGTCAATGATGAATTACATCAAATGACATTTTGAAATAAAGTCATGTGGTTATAAAACCAAGTCATTGTTGGATGTTACACATCAAATGACTATTTTATAAAACAAGTACAGTTTTCTGGAATTTCACCTCAGGGGAGTGTACGAATCAGGTCTTTTATAAAACAAAATTTTGTGTCTTTGTTGGGTAGCGGAGTTCTCGGAGTCGCATTGCCAGTTCTGCACACCATGACACTTTCGAAATTTCACCTTAAGGGAGTGTCTGAACCAAGTAGCCGAGTCTTGCACCCGAGGGAGAGTCCAGCCCTACTTAGTAAACCCTACACAAGTTTTTCATGCAACCGTGTGACTCAACTGGATTTTCAATTCAACTTTCCCGAGCCCACCCATCAACCACTAAATATGATGTTTGATTAAACCATGCACACACTCATATCCACACCCCATGTCTCATGTCCATGGTTGTGATACTTTTCTGTATAAATTCAATGTAATGCATAATTGCAATATCAATGTCATGCCCCATAATTTAAACATATAGTATGCCCACAAATACCAATTTTTATGGAATTTCACAAGTAATTACCTTATTTCTATTTCAAGGCAGGAATTTATTCTAAAGCATTTTTAATACCCATTTCTACAAAATTTACAATAATTGGTAAGTGATATATAATTCTATCAATCTGTCTATTACATATAACATCCTAGGTTAGAAAATAAATCTAAATATGAGGAAACCTTACCTTTTGAAGCGTAAAATGTCATCAAGAAACTCCAAGACCCCAAAAACGAGCTAGAATCCCTAGCTTCCAAAAATTCTGTTTCTTGATCTTCGGTAAAACTTGCGCTTTTTAGTATAGTTATGTAGCCCTCGTCAAGGAGATCGACTTTTGTTCTTGACCTGTGTTAATTTGAGCACCGTAGGGCCGGAGATCGTAGAAAAAGGTGGAGAACCCAAACTTTTTCTCTCTCTTCCTCTCACACGTTATAACCCGCTGACGAATAGGGGAATAAATCATATTTTTTTCACTATTTATACTCCTAATTTGCTTGACCCACAACGCGCCACACGACCGTCTTTTTTTTCGGATCCGTTTTCGGCCAGTTTAAGTTCAAAAATATTTTTATTTTAACTTGCCTCAATTTATTTTCCAACTTTTAAAATTTTATTTAAATTTTTATTTTTGGGTCACCCGAGATCCGATCACCTTGTAAAACGCGAAAAAAAATTTAACTCTCTCCAAATTCAATGAAATTTGATGGGATAACTAAATTTTGCGAGATGAATCCAATTGTGAGATCCGTTTCATCATCCGAGATTTAGAAAAATTTATATTTTAACTCGTACCGTAGTGACAAATTACCGTTTTACCCCTTTTTAAAAAAGTTCAAATTTACTCAGATTTTACACCATTAATCCATTTATTTAAAAAAAAAACACTTTGTCTATTTTTTCGTTTGTATGGTAACACGAAATTAACACAAAACTAACATATTTAACTAGTATTATAGACATAAAATGTTAATTATTTGTAACTATTTATTAAGCACTAACATAATTATTATATAAAAAAGATATTTTTATTTGTTATTATTATTATTATATTTATTTAAGTTAATTTTTAGTTTGTAGAATAAATATTAACATGAATTCAATTAAATGAAGATGTAATATTAGCGTTAAATTTTTTATTTAAAATTTATGTAGGTCAACACAAATATGAATATGACATGAAAATAAATAGGTCAACTCGACACGACACAATTGATTAAATAAGTTGAGTTAGGTTTGACTAATGTTCGACACAAGCTCGTAATGAATCAACATGAACCTGACACGACACGATTCGATTGTTATCTCGAATCTTAGCCAACAAAAAAAAAAAATTAATCATTTTTATTTTTCATATATCCTATCAAATACAAAGGAAGAAAAATGTATCATTCCTACTTTCATTCGTTGAAAGATAGAAAATATATCTTTCTTATTTTTTATCCTTCCTACTTTCCAACATTTCTACCAAATGGACCATAAATACAGTGTGAATTATAATCAGTGTTTTAAAATCCGGGTCAGCTTGATAGATTGACCCGATTACCTGGTGAACCAGACTCGAAACCGGGCCAGTTAATAGTTTTGATCGTTCGAGCACAAAATTCGTCCAAGACTCGTTGAGCTGGACGGTTTTAATTTCAACCGTTCAATCCGGACGGTTTTAATCCAACCGGGCGGTTTGATTGAGAAGTTATAATTTTTTCACTTTTTTGGCATTTTTTGCCCTAATTGCTATCACTCCTATTGTCTCTCTCTTTCTCCCTCTGGGCTCTGCCTTCCGTCGTCTCCACCACCATGGTTCATGGGAGTCTCCAATACCATCACCAGATATGTTCATGCTTCATGGCCGTCTCCTCTCCATCGCCTCATCTCATGTCGTTGGCTTCTTGAAAGAAAATGTGGTTTAACGATTTTGCTTCATTATCTTCTCTGAGTTTACTTCCCTCTTCACACAGGTACTTCATATGCTCATCACCGTCTCTCTCTCTCTGCTATTTGTATTTTTAGGCTACTATTTTCCTATGTTGGTTAGTTTTATGAATATTGATTTTATTTCTGTGATGAAATTATATAAATTATAGCCTAGTTTTTGTGGCCCTTGTTTCTTTTTGAAAAGAGATACAAGGAAGAGAATTTCAAACATAGAAAACAAAATTAAGGAAACAGAATCTAAATTGGCAATTCATGAGCTACAGTGTTTGAATTTCTAAAGATATGTAGAAAGCTCCATTCGATGTGTATCTTCAGCAAAATACTCAGATCTGAGATGATCGTGGTAATAGACCAGTGGCCCCAGTTTCGTGGCAGCTGGGAGATTACTTCTCCAAAATATTTTTTCACTGCTCTTTTATTTATGTTTTCCTTCAATACAATTGGATGGATAGGATAATATTTGATAATTTTTGCGGTTTTGTTGGATCTAAAATACATTAAACATGATGTTTTTTATAATTATTATATTTTTAAGCATATTTAATAATATTATTAATTTTTTTATTATTATATCTCTTAGTTGACCGGTGATTCCTTGATCCGATCCCTTTGTCGTACTGATCTTCGGGCCGATTTTTAAAACTATGGTTGCAATCCTCTTAACTTTCTCTCTTACTCACTCTTTGCCTTTTCAAAACGTGAATGTAATGTGTGTGGCTAAAAGAACCACATAGTGCATTTAATAATAGGTTATAGTATAGACCCTAAAGAGAAAAAAAAGTCGAGCTTCCAATGGATCTAGAAATTCTATATCGAACCCAGAACAAACATCTTAAGTTCCATTAATGATAAAGTAGTCATCTAAAGATTTATTATTGATCTCCAGAGCATTATCTCAAAATTATATTTTGAGCTTCTCGTTATTATTTGTTTAATAATCTTTTCACGTTTAAGATTACAGATGCTTATTAATTAATTAAATTACTAACAATTTTATTTAATTGACTTTTTTTTTATCTTTGAGATCTTACCACTCAACTTATTTGTCATGTCGGATAATTAATTCCACCTTCAAGGTTTAACATAGATAAAACTTATGAGTTCCATCAAGAAGACATCGTCAACCCATTTAAATAACGGAATGTGATTTCTTTTAATAATTAATTTTTACTATATAAATAATGTCATATTCCAATTCATCGTGTTTGTTGACTCAAAATATGAATTTCACTCTTTAATGAATTAAAGTAACAATCATTATATGCACGTGTCAATTAAATATTTTAGGATTAAAAGTTTGGCAATCATAATAACTATGAGATAATTTATTTTTTTATTTACTCAGTAAAAAAAAAAAACCTCAATGATGGTCTTGTCTAATACACAAAAGGGTGGTTTGGTTGTTCTATTATAAGGTGTATTAAAGAGTCATATTGGATAAAAACGATTTAATACGAGTTTATACTATTTTTGAATGCAAAAAATCACTTTGTATTATACGTGAGATTAACTAGATAATTATCACATATAGATAATTCTAATACAATTTATCCGTACTATTGATCTATTTTAATACTACCAAGAGAGGTGGTATTCTAATACAATCTAGGTGTATTATATCGTTATTTTATAATTTTACCCTCAAACTAACAAAAATTTATACGATAATTCCTTAATAAAAATTTCATAGACTTCTTGACTTCATAATAAACTGGCCCTTTAAATTTTTCACAATGACTTGATGTCTCCCTCGTATGGACAATCTGTAACAGATGCACTTAATTTGTCATTCGTATGGATATTGATAAACAACGATATTAATAATAAACAAATAGATATATTCAAAATACACTTTTACACAATTAAAGTATGTTTGTTTAATTTCAATATTATTTAAAAATATTCATAATAAATAATATTTACATAGCTTTTGGCTCTATTGATATAGTCCTACAAAATATTGGATTATTATAAGGGATCAAATTAGAGATGATTAATGATATTTTATTCCATTCATTAATCCTATTGAATAAATTACCTAACCAAATATTATATTCAACTTGATATTTATTATCCATCTTTTATCCGTACTTAACAAACACTTGAGTAGAATTTGTACTATTTTTATCCTCTATTTAATCTTAGATGTTATCTTTCTATCTAGGACTGTCCTGTATTCTTTAACATAACATCCAGATGACCTCAAAGTATACTAATGCAATAATTCGAGACATCAAACAGTCTCTTATAACCAATATAGATTATGTCAGAAGATTGCATTATAATCATTTTGATTGCGAGCCCAATTTTATTTAAGATTCTGAACCTTTACTTATATCATACAAGAATCTGATAATTTGAACTTCTGTGTATAAGTCAAATTTTGCACACTAAATTATTTACAATATAAAATAAAAGACACATGCATAACATACATTTGATATAATATAAACATTTTACTGTTACAGATTTCCCATAGAAAATGAAGAACTTTTATTAAGTAGTAAACTGGGTTTCATTACAAAAAACNATTTCCCATAGAAAATGAAGAACTTTTATTAAGTAGTAAACTGGGTTTCATTACAAAAAACATGGTTTTTAGTATATAACTCTATCAAATACATCTCTATTAAATAATTAAAAATTATAAGAAAGTATTGAGGAGGGAAAGTTTCTTGAGTACTCTATTTTCTAATTTAATTTTTATAGCATATAGCATAGATTCATATACCTATACATAATTCAAATTGGATTTTAGTCCAATTTAATATAGATATATCTAATTCAAAATTCGTGAAATATGATATAATAAATTTGGATTAGATTTTGATAATCAAAGAAAACATATCTATCATTATTTGCTTTTTCGTATTGAGATTTAAATCAAAATTTGATTCATTAACATGACCGAGCAAACCTTAGAAATAGAAAAGACATGAACAATAAATATTCAACGAAGTAGGGCCTTGGTCTCATATATAAGCAAACTAGGGTAACCCGTGTTTGAAAATACGCTACAATTTGAATAATTTTGAGATGAATGTTGGTAGACATTAGATTAATCTATTTGAGACCATTGAATGAGCTTATTAAAGTCAATTCTATTTTATATTATACAATAGGCCACCGTGTATATATTCGAAAACAGAAATTCAAATACATGGTATGAACAAAAAATTTCCTTCCCTAATTTGCAGGGATGCAAGATGGTCAACCATGCGAAACACAATACTATCAGTCTATCAGCCATCCCACCTTGCAAAATTGGTGCCAACAATGCAAGCATTCATCGAATGTGCAACTCAGCACCTGGAATCCAAAGGCGAGGACATTACTTTCTCTGACCTCTCCCTCGTATTGGCCACTGATGTAATCGGACAAGCTGCCTTTGGCGTCGACTTTGGCCTTTCCAAGCCACAATCAATTAGTGATTCAATAGAGAATACAAGCCATCAGCAAAACGATAACGAAGTCCAGGACTTCATTAATCAGCACATTTACTCCACAACCCAGCTTAAGATGGACTTATCAGGCTCCCTCTCAATCATACTGGGCTTACTTGTACCCATTCTCCAAGAACCTTTTCGACAAATTCTTAAGAGAATCCCGGGCACTATGGACTATAAAGTAGATCGAACTAACCAGAATTTGAGTAGCCGGCTTGATGAGATTGTCTCGAAGAGAATGAAAGAGGAGGACAGAGGTTCAAAGGACTTCTTGTCACTTATATTGAGGGCAAGGGAGTCAGAGACAACAGCAAAGAATGTTTTCACCTCAGACTACATAAGTGCAGTAACTTATGAGCACCTACTTGCTGGATCAGCAACGACCTCGTTTACTTTGTCTTCTATTATCTATCTGGTTGCTGGGCATCCAGAAGTTGAGAAGAAGTTGCTTGAAGAAATTGATGGTTTTGGCCCGCCTGATCAGATGCCAACTGCTCATGATCTCCAGAATAAATATCCCTATCTTGATCAGGCAAGTCTCTAATATTCGCATAACTTCCATGTAAATATTCAGATTTAGGAGCTAAACAAAGGACTAGGTAAAGATTTAGTAAGCTTCAATTAGTTCAATCAATAGTCTTAAGACCATCTTAAATGGTTCTTAATATTCAATCAGATGAACCGCCACTACATCATCTTCTTNTTAGTTCAATCAATAGTCTTAAGACCATCTTAAATGGTTCTTAATATTCAATCAGATGAACCGCCACTACATCATCTTCTTAGTCCAACTAGCTAATCCAGAGAAATTAAAGACAAAGCTTAGTTGGATTGACTTGTTGATTGTTTGACCACAGGTGATTAAAGAGGCAATGAGATTCTATACGGTTTCNTGGTCCGACTAGCTAATCCAGAGAAATTAAAGACAGCTTAGTTGGATTGAGTTGTTGATTGTTTGACCACAGGTGATTAAAGAGGCAATGAGATTCTATACGGTTTCTCCATTGGTGGCAAGAGAAACATCAGCACAAGTAGAGATTGGAGGTTACATTCTCCCAAAGGTGGACATATTCCAAATTCAAAGCAATTATTATGTTACTTTTCCGGGTCTTTGTATGATTGTTGCTGATTTAAAACTGTTTGGTATCCTAAAAGAACTGTTTTTGAATGAGCAGGGGACATGGGTGTGGTTAGCACTTGGGGTTTTAGCAAAAGACCCAAAGAATTTTGCTGAACCGGACAAGTTTATCCCAGAAAGGTTTGATCCAAATTGTGAAGAAGAAAAACAAAGGCACCCATATGCAAACATTCCTTTCGGAATTGGACCACGATCATGCATTGGGCAGAAATTCTCATTGCAAGAAATTAAACTCACACTGATTCATCTGTACCGGAAATATGTATTTCGACACTCCCCCTACATGGAAAACCCTCTGGAACTCGAATATGGCATAGTTCTTAATTTCAAGCACGGCATCAAGGTTAGAGCCATCAAACGAGCATGAAAGCTGTTGAACATGATTTAAGTTCCTCGACATGAGAGCTTGATGACTGTTTTTTAATGCCATCCTATCAGTGATACTTGGCAAGTAGTATTGGTTGAGCTAGTGAAGTCTATTATCCAACATAGTTTCCACGACCGTTCACAGATTGTATTGTTGATCCCATCTAAAACTCTTTTTTTTTATATATATTATTAAAAAAAGAAAAAACACATGTTGCAAGAGACATTCTTCCGATCATCAAACTGTGACTGGTTTATGGATTACACTAGATCATTTTTATGTTATCAAAAAATAGCACTTCTTAGNTTTTTTTTTATATTATTAAAAAAAGAAAAAACACATGTTGCAAGAGACATTCTTCCGATCATCAAACTGTGACTGTGGTTTATGGATTACACTAGATCATTTTTATGTTATCAAAAAATAGCACTTCTTAGATGTTAAAAGTCTGAAATCTTAGAAATGGTATCTTATCAAGAATTTGTTCACCCATGTTGCACTCAAGATCTAAAGGCCATCAAACTTCTGACTACATCATATTGTTAGGCAGTTGAATTTTAAATTAAATAAACCAAAATAATGTAAATTAAGAAAAGAAGGGAGGGGGGTTCTTCTTTCTGGAAAACATGATTGTTATAGATGTAAATAGATAGATTTGTTTCATCTGCATAGATATATGAAAATAGAAACAACAAATAAATTCCAGAACCATAACTTACTATTTCACAAAATGGAGAACCCTCGAATCAAATATGATCAACTCAACAAGGTCTTGGTGTTCCAGTACCACAGGTCTTGATGTTTCAACATACATTTCTTTCATAGACAACAAGGTGTTGATCTTCAGGATGAAGACGAGTCTTTTCCTCTTTAACCATAGAAGCAATCGATATCACCTAGCATCTTCGAGTGTTTATCCATTCGTGTGGGGAGGCAAAGCGGCTTAGATATATTGAATGAAGAAGCATCAGAAACAGTACTATTTTTTGAATCCCCACTGGAATATGCCCCTGACTTTTTAAGAAACTGAAACTCATCCATGGATTGGCTCTGAATTCTGGGAGATAAATTTCTCTGCTTGGCCTTGATTGATTCAGTCAGGTTCATATAGCTCGGCTTACTGTTATTGCTCTCCTCAGTTCTATCAGAAACCAATAATGTGTTTCCAGAAATTGGAGTTGTAGATGTGCATATTGAAGATGAAGCCGTGCTCTCATCATACCGAAATTCAGAACTTGGGCTTGAAGATGAGCGAGTTCCTTGCCCCATTAGAGGAGGTTTTACTGAAACCCTGGTGGTGATATTGTTTCTTCTGGTTTTCACGAAGCTTGATTCAGAGGATTTTGAATGGTCACCCTTCAGAGAATCAGCACAGGTTTTAGAAGGTGGAGTTTTTTCCAAATGATCATTTTTGACCTGTTCCATTAGTCTATTTTCCCATGGTCTTGCTGCCATCCAACGTTCTAACCAACTCCAACCCCAACTACCCTTGTCGAACTCATGATTTTTAAGAGAGAACAAGGAGACACTCGTTCGGGAGTCAAAACTCGGGTTTGATCTCAATTGCTAAAAAAAAAAAAAGAACTTAGTCATATTTTTAGGTTATATAAAGATAATAAAGGGACCTTTTAACTTACTGAAATACCTTTTGAGCAAGGGAATATGCAAGTGCTCTTTCTCTCTTGAAGGCTCCCTCTTGCCTCATTTGTATCTTGGTTTTAACCTCTTCTAGTGTTCCTCTACTATCACACCATCCTTCCTGAATTTTCCAAGGCGAGTTAAAAACACCTTCTTACTTTTTCTATCATAGGAAAGAGATTACAACAAATTCATGATTCAATTACCCATTAATAACAAGCCAGCTGTAATTGACACTAAAAGCTGATATAACTAAGTGCCAGTATGTCAAATGATTGATTTTACCTCAGCTTGTTTCAAGCGATCAGCCTTGCTGCGGTGTTCTTCAAGCATCTTCTGCACAGCCTGCCCCTCTATGGACATACGTACACGTCGAGCTCTTACCCGGGCTTGTACTCGAACAAGAGCCTGCATGCACCTCAGAGTCACAGCAGCCTGCTTCCTCACCTGTCGACCTCGAACTAAAGCTTGAAGTCTCACCAACCCTTTCAAGGCCCTTAGAGCCCTTCTTGCCTACAATTGTCCAACACCAGCTAAATGATTACATATTCCCAGAACATAAATTGAATCCCAAACAGCAATTAATTGCTTGCACAAAACTCATTCTTGATGTGGGTACTTCGATGCATTTATGAAATGTTGTAGCATTTTAAATACATGGTCATGTATGAAATTAATCCATTCTTTATATCATTTGTATGATAGATCTTCTTTATTGAGTGCAAGTACTGCTTTATCTTCCTATACATGAACCATTATAAGCACATACATGTATAAACTATATTCAGGAATGACCTGTATATATGAATTATAATAATGTTTAATTCATTTATACTTACATTCATGTACAACTATAGACATGAACTTTGAGTATACACTTCCCACCAACATGAAATATTGTACATATTTAAGAGGAAAGTTTGGATAACATGAAATCCGTCTTGCTGAATGGCTGCAAAAATGTTTTTAAGTTATCTAGATGTGTTCAAATGTAGCACTATGTAGAGTAATTGCTCATGAACGCAGAAGACTTAAGAGTAATACTTCAAGACTAAAACTTGACAATGGACAGCTAAGATCAAACTTTATCGGATCTGCAGTTTTCATAGTTTTGAAACCTTATATCTGTTTCTTCAATAGGGCTAGATCCTCAGATGAAGACACTTTACTGCTTTATCAGCCTTCGTATGCCTAATCTATGGTCAAATTCAATAAGGAACTCAAGTTTAAAAAGTAAAGTCTTGGATTTTCTAGTAACCAAATTAGCTATCCATTATTTTTTCCGGCAAACTTTAAGATAGATTAATCTCTTATCACTCATAGATTATAATTATGTAAATCTACCGTTTTTAAGTATGGTGAATCCAAAAATCAATCCACGCTTTTGGCAAGAAAACTTGGAAAAAGGGACAGCCCAAATGGTCAATCTGGGATTGACACCTAACTTTTCATCTTTGGGAGAGTCAGAATCTATCTATCTACCCATGAAAGTAAAATACGTTTACTAGATTTACTGAATAAGTTCAGAGAATTATAGTTTAAACTGGTAACCAATTTATACCTAAAAGGTTTGCGTTTCCTTTGTCCAAACCCTAAATGAATACTTTAAAATTGAAGTTTCTTTCCCTGCTTCCATATTTTCTGAGACACTAAACAGAAAAAGAAAATCGGACAGAGACTCAATTACCAAGAAGCCACGAAATGCAGTCTGGATCCTGATGGTAGCCCATTCTTGCCTCACAACCCTGAAATCTTTGGGCGGAGCTCTAACAACAGTAGCCACAGCAGCTGTGAAAGCATCCCTAGTCACTGATGGAGAATCAGACCCCTCTGATGAAGCAGTGCCTCTAAGGTTCCCTTTTAAACCCTTCCATTTGGAACCACCCAGAACCCCTGATGAGCTCCTCCATAGCCTCCATTTCTTGCTCTTACCATCCACCTTCTCCTAGAGAGACAAAATAGATTACAACAGCCATGTTTATGGGTTTTCAGTATACAAATGTAGTGATAACAGAAAGATTGGATCACGGGTAGTGGTTTGAGCTTACATTAGCGTCTTTATCTGGTTTCTTTAGACCTATCAATGCTTTTACCCATTTCCCAGAAGCGCCCATTTGGAGCAGGTCTTGATTTTTCAGACCAGAAATTCCGATCGTCCGCAAAACTGTGGATTTTCGAAAGAAAAAGCTGACGTTATTCAGCTAGAGAACAAGGACCTTTGGGACGAGCGAAAAGAGAAAAATTTTAGGAAAAAATGAGCTTTGCTCAGAAAGAAGTTGAAGGAAGAAGTAAATACGTATAAACGACAGCAGATGTGAGAGAGAGAGAGAGAGAGAGAGAGAGAGAGAGAGAGGTGGTGTAGTCGGTACTGCCTATACTGGGTTTGGGTGAAGTCGTGACTGGTGTCGTGGGGTGGCTCTGCATTGTTCTATGAGCCGTTTGAAATTCAAAAAATAACGGGAAGGCACGGGGACTAATTCCCGCTCAGTTCTATTTGATATTACGAAATTGCAAACTTTTGGGTAAAACATGAAAAGGCACGTCCCGTTTTTGTCAGGTTCATGAAAAGGCACACAAAAGACCAAAAACAAGGCGACAAAGAATCTCCGAAGTCCGTGTTTGGAAGATTTCTGGAGTTTTTATCACAACAGTGTCGTATTTCACAACAATATCAAGGCCACCCCTGTAAATTGCGAACGGAGTGCTCGGACTCGGGACCATTATGAGGAGTTATTGTCAGTCTTATGCAGGGCCGGCCGATGAAAATTGGGCCCGAAAGGAATATGTTAAATAGGCCCTTAGTAATTTAATATAAATATTAAAATAATATATTAATAATTTTATTTAAAAAAAATTATATCTTTTTGCCTTGAAAAATAAATATTTATTACAATATGACCCACTTTGTATTTTTGTATCATTTTCACCTTTATTTGTTTCACTTTTAAATAACTTAATGCTCATTATAATTTTTTTTGTACAATTATCTAATTATTTGTGATTATGTTAAATGTGATGGATTATTCAACCACTACATCTTCGCTTCAAGTTACTGGCATATTTTTTATATAACTAGTAACAAATATATCAATGCATCTCCATTTACATATTAAATTAATCATTCATTTTATTTTTTTATGCTTTTCATATGGCGATGTATATTTTATGATGAACATATTCAAGCAAAAAAATACTTTTAAAAATCTAAATCAATAAGTAACATTACTAAGATTGAAATTTAATGTATTATCTAATTTGGTAAGAATAGAACAATTTAGTTTGTAAATGTTATTTTTGGTGAATAATGTCATTATGTTTATTTTAATTGTGCAAATGCAAACAATTTAAAAGGGGCATTAAATGGAGAGAGGAAGAGAGAGAGAGAGGTGTTTTCATGAAATAGCTGGCAAAACATTAATGAAGAGAGTGAGTATGTGTTCAATTATATTTTCTAATTTATTTTAGGCCTACTTCTCTTTTTTTAGGGGCTTTTTCTATTATTGGGCCAAATTGGATGTACTATTTTATACATATTATAGGGCCTATCAAATTGGAGGCCCTAAGCGGCTGCCTCAATGGTTTTGCTATTGGGCTGGCCTTGGTTTTATGAGTGGTTTTGTTTCCGTGGATAAAGGAGTTGGATTAGCTAAAAAAAAAATTGGGGCCCCACAAATCTCTAGCTTGAAACAAGGGTGATTTGAAAATCAATACAATTTTTTAGACTTAATTGAGCAAAAATATAACACCAATTCTTATTTGGACTAAAGTGCATATTTTTAAAAAATGAAAATATTTTCATTTAATAAATAGTTGATGGGTTGAAACTTTTTGTATTTCTTCCATATATTTTGGCTACAATCAAGTAATGAGAGATAAAATAGGGACATATTTTTTCTAACAGTTTCTCTCTCTCTCCTTCTCTTTATTTTCTCTTACTTTATTTATATTAATATTACAACAACACAATTACAACAATCGGTTACAATTGTCCTATAATACACCAAACAGTTACTCATGCATTTTAATAAACCAAACAGTTATACAAAATAATTACACAAAATTATGATACCAACTCAATTTGTCATTCAGTTGTTCACATAAACTAAACAGTTGCATTATTTAGTATCGCGACATCGTTAAACCATCATGTTTTAACAATTGAATGAGACTATGATTGTTACTCCCCATTAAAAAAATAGTTACACCCATTAAAAAAAAGCAAAGAAGTTTTTTTTTCCCTACATCCCAACGACGAACAATATATAATATCTAACAAAACATCTTGGCCAATTCTCTCTCTTTTTTTTTTTGGGAAAAATTTAGTATTTATTCATATATAATTTGTGATGTTGAAATCAAATCCCATTGCCATAAAATTTTGTTGCTGAAGAAGAAAGGTTTTGAACATTAATGCCCCTATTTTACCTTTCATTACTATTGTTAATATTTACATATTTGTTTCCTCAAATAACTGTTAATGATGATTGCATAATTTAAGGAAGGGTGTTTAGGTAAAAAAAGTTTTTAATTCAATTGAATTTTGTACCTAAACACAAAAAAATTTATAAAAATTATACTTAATAGAGTAAATAATTTATCCATACACTTTTGCTTAAATAAGTCTAAAAAATTGTACTCATATCCAAAAAACCCTTGAAACAAATAGTACTGGTGAGAAAAATATTGGGCTTCAATTAGCCAGCCCACAATAAAGGCATCAGTTTATCCCTTTTAAACTGGATATAAATAACCCATAGATGGTGTGAGATAAATTTTCAATCGACTTTATAAAAGTTATTTTTACCAATATTGTAATAACCCGAGTTTTGGTAATTATAAATCGTTGGATGTGTAAGGTTAGGAGGTCAATTCGTCAAAAATTTAATAGATAATTTTATAATGCTTGATTTAATATATATGTGATTGTGAAAAAAAATATATATATGTATATTTTTAATTAATTTTCAAAATTATACACAATAGAAAAATTACCAAACTGCCATAGAAGTGTCAAGACTCTTCTACACATGCGAGGTGGCTGATGGAGGCTTGTTAGGCTGCATAGAGGACACCCAGCTGCTTGAGAGGGGATAAAATGGAGAAGGATTCGATGAGAAGAGAGAGAGAGATGAGAAAGAGAAGTTAGAGAGAGAAACTATAGACTCTACATTTTTGGATTCTTGTAGAGACTACTTCGAGCACTAAGAGGTATACTCACAGCCTAATATGGATGTTAGGAACTCATATATGTAATTAGATTTTGATTTGATTTAGTATTAATGCATGAATTTGTGTTTTAAAGTTTAGTGGGTTTTTGAATTTTAAAACGGGTTTGAGATTTGAGCTTGATTTGGATTAATTGTTTGGTATGACTGATTTTGGAGGGGGGGGTCTTGAGGAGTTGTTTAGTGGTGGTGTGTGGTGGTGTGAGGGTTTTGAAGAAGTGAAAATTTGATTTTGATCAAAATTTGTTTAAACTTCGAAAAGGGGCTTGGGCCTAACTAATTTGGGGTCAAGGAATTCATTTCCGGTCTCAGAATTGGATTTACAGGTCATTTTGGGGGTGAAACGGGCAGTTGCAGGTCTGTCATTGTGTTTAAAAAATAGTTTTTGACCAACTTTGACCAATAATTTGATGATGTTAGAATTCAATCCAAAGGTTGAGTCTAAGAGAGATTGATACTAGGTTATCCAAGAAGTATGTGGATGTTAAAATCAAAGGATATGGTGTATTGTAGTGAAAGAACCAAGTGATCAAATAAACCAAGGTTGAAGATGAAGTGGACAGTGGACTCCGATGGCAATTTTTGCTTCGTCCGAACTGTGAACGACCTTTGATTTGTGCCAAAAGCTCTGTAATATTCATGCAGAGGTCCTGGTAAAATTTCAAGTTGATCAGACGGCCGGATCAAAATGAGGAGTAAAATGACTATTTTGCCCTCCGGGGTCAAATTGATCTAGTTTTGAGTGATTTTTAGAAAATAAATTCCATATTCTTGGGTAGTTTAATTAAGTGTGTGTATTAAATTTCATCGAAAAATAACATTGTTTAATTTTTGGTTATTTCAGATCAAAATATTGAGCGGGTAGGGTTTCTCAATTCTTGAACAGGCGATGCTTTCCAAACTTGTGCTCTAAATTATTTTATAATTTATTTATGATGCTTTAGCATGTTTTGAAATATTTGATTGAGTGTTTGAATATTGACTTAGATCCGGACCTTGATGCAGGGTTTTTAAGTGCGGGTTGCACTAATGTTTTGAAAATAATAGTATTGCTTGAATTATTCGTATTGAATGAAACTCTAGGATCCTTTTTATGGAAATATAAGTGCACACGGGTCGAGTGACAAAAGAGTTTACATTCCAATTTGAGGCCGTAGAGGGTACTAATTGAGTTTGTAAATACTTGGGTGGCCCTGTTGGTCTTCGGACTTAGGTACTAAATTGGATCGTATTGACTTGGGAGCGTATCTTCCTTGGGGTGAAAGTCCCCTAAATTATTGAATCGTATGTTCGTATGGACCCTTAGTGGTCTATTAGGATGAATTGCCCACCAGTGTAGCACTATACTTAAATTTCTGAACTCTCTTTTACAGTTTTATTTAATTGTTATAGTTTCACATGAAATGACATTTTTGCTGACATATATGTATCCAATGCTCATTTTGAATTCTTTTCCAATCATGCTAAACTATACTAATTTTCAAACTCGTTTGCTTGGAAATTGAGTTACTCTACTGAGCTGTTGATGCTCACCCTACGTTACTTTTCCCTTTTTCAGATGTGAGAAAGCTGGGAGATGTGTACATAATAACCTACAAAGGTTTCTGTATATCTTAGGCAGTTGTATCAAAAGTTTGTAGTAGAATAAAAGAAATCCTAGTGTGCAACGTATACTTAATTGAATAATAGGTTGTAATAGTTTGAATTATGTTAGGTTAAAATTTTTGCATATATTTATACAATAATATGTGGTTTGTAAATTGTGGGTTATTATGTTGTGCTATGTGACTTCTCATTATTGTAACGTTTCGTGGATTAAAGTAACACCTGTCACATGTCGAGTTGATTCGGGGTGTGACAAAGTTGGTATTAGAGCATGGTCACGATCTTATATGGGTCATTATTACATTTATGTGTAGATTAGTTGTTAATTAATGTGTGGTTTTATAGGAAATATGTCAATTTGGGACGATCTCCACATAGATATTCAGGAATGGGATATGGTTCCATGGTGGAAACATACGACGAAGTGATCAACAGAGAAGAAATAA